CTCGGTTCATAAATCTAATTTTGAATTTTATTTGCCTAAAGGTCCACACACTAAAATTTTATCTACAAGGACAAGCTCGTGTAAAAAGACCAAATTATCCATGTCTATATATTTAGGTTATACGATGGAAAAAGAAAATCAAATCTCTCTTCTCTCTCTCTCTCTATAGAAAATCAAACCCCTCTCTCTCTCTCTCTCTCTCTCTCTCTCTCTTTCTATTCATCTTCAACACCACCGTTGTTGTTTCAATCACCGCTTTTTCTCTCTCTTTCTCTTCATCTCCACCACCACTACCACCATCTTTTTTCCTTCAACACCACCGTGGTTGTCTCAACCGCCGACGATCTTAGATCTAAAACAGATCTGTGATCTTTGATTTGTTCTCTCCGATCTAGTCCCTACCTCAATCTTCGATCTCAAATCTATTGTTGTTGTTGTTGTTCGAGTTGGCAAGTTTTAGTGAGAGATAGTGATTAGCATTGGATAAAGATGGGATAATGGTCGGTGTTAAAATAAGAGTCACAGTTACAATGAAGGTGGATGAGACTTGGGTCCATTTATATATAAGAACACAAAAATAACATTATAGCTTACTAATCTAATTAATCTCTTTCTTTATTGTAGAATCAGAAGTTCGCATATATATATATATATATATTACATTGTATATATTATTATTATTTTGGTTCATTGTTAAAACAATAGTTTATAGTGGAGATGAATGAGGCTTGGGTCCATTTATATATAAGAACACAAAAGCAACTGTCACGACCCAAATCTGCCCCTTTAGGTTTAGCGTCGTAACCGACTAGTAATCCTCGGATTATCGAAGACCTCTAACCTAAATAACAAACTATAAGGGGTTGCGGAAGCAAATATAGAAACATACATAGTCCATAGAGCTGTGCAAATATACATGAGACAAAAACATTTAAAACTGATATATATATATATATATATGTGTATACATATATGACGTCATATACATCCATCCAACCTTGTCATTATACACAAAGTAAAATAAAAGAACTGGTCACAAAATAACAAAAGTCTTAAGCTTATGTCTTGGTTTACAAAACTCGATCCTTAAACTCTTTTCGGAACCTCCTCAAGAGGCACAATGGTTGGCCGACAAAACAGAGACTCCAGGTCATCAACTTTGAGCCTGGCTACCTAGATACATAATATAAATAGTAAGCGAAAGCCTAGTGAATAATAACAGAGTAAAGATTTTAATGAATGACGTCCATAACAGATTTAGAAATCCGATTTCATATTCAAATCTCTTATCAAATCAGAAACATAGTCATGTTCATATTCATATCAGAAACAGAGTCATATTCATGTTCAAATCATACGTGGTACATCCATTAGCATTAACATATCACGTTGGTCAGGCATATTAAGTTTCATAATGGAATCTCCGGTACCGGGTAACATATCTCATACATGGGCCACGGTATTGTTTTCCCCTGGCGAGGGGCCTCTGTTAAGGATACCACAATTACATTTCAAAGAAAATTGGACAATCATTCATTCATACAAAACATAACGTTTCAGAAAATTGATTATTTCATATCATTAGAAAATAATTAAAGTCAAACATAACTTTACAGAGTTATTACTCACAGATAGTTTAACAGATAGCTTTGATAGCAAATCAATAACCAATAGCTCACGGCGTATGACCTACACAAACATAACAGATACACGTATTGAAACACATGCTTGTACGTAACTTATTTCATTTCGTTCTTAGTGTGTTTCTGGCCCTTATCCTCATTATTATGTCTTAATCTTGGCATATGAATGCCAAGGATGTAATGAGAATACTAAAATGCACTTGAAAACACTTAGTTCAATAGGCTGAAAACAGGGGCCTCACTCAAGCGCAACTTTTTTTGCTCGAGCGAACGTTCAAGAATGTGAGAGGTCACTTGAGCGCAATTCTTGTCGCTCGAGCGGTCTGTAAATTTTGTAAAAGTACTGGTTGCTTGATTTTTCCACTCGACGCTTGCTTAACGATCGCTCGAGCGTGAGACTGGGGTCTTGGTTCGAGCGCAACTCCTGTCACTCGAGCAGTCTGCAAAACATAGAAACTTCTAGAAGCATGCAATTCACGCTCGAGCTAACTTTTGGTCACTCGAATGGAGGTGCAAAAATAAAGGCAATCGCTCGAACGGAGAGCAAAATTCTGGAATTTCTAGATTGCACTCCAAAGTTCAAAACTCGAATTCAAAGCTTTAAAATGCAACCTTTGGACCCAAAAACTTTTGAAAACATGTCTAAACTTGTAAAACATAGAGAATTAAAGACTATTTCATGAAATCAAGGCCCATAAGCATGTCAATTGTACAAAATTAAGCTTGAAATTTGAAAATATAACATGAACATGGCATACGTGAAATGATTTGAGCTCCAAGTTTCCAAATCATGAGCAAATGAGATGTTTAGATCAAAAACATGTTGAATTCCTTGAACAAAACCAAGATGCGGACATGCATGCAGAAATTCTTTTGAAATAACTTCCAAAACTTCATGATACGCATATGCTTGTATGAGATGATTTCCAATTCTACTCTCTAAGCATAGTTCTTATGTATTAACACTCAAATCTCTTAAATTCTCTTCCTTATAGACTTAAACACAAAGATTATGAGTCAAATACTCACTTAGGATCTTGGATTATTAATGATTCTAAGTTGCTCTTCCCAAAACTCAAGTCCCTAGCTAGGTTCTAAGCCAATTCTCTTCAATCTCCCTCTTCTACAATGCTGAACTCAAGTTCTCTTCTTCTCTCCCTCTATCCACGTTTTTGAGCTTAAAGAGTGTGGAATGAAGGTGCAAAATAAACTAATGGAGTCAAATTAGCCTTATATAAGCTCAATTAAGGAAGCTTAATTAAACTTGACTTAAGTTAATCAAATTGACATTAATTATTCTAATTTAATTCGTTCTGAATCGAATTTCAATTCAATCTATCATAAAATTCTAAAAATTCCAAATAACACATAACCTTAGTCAATTTTGTGATCAGATGCCGATAAGACCTTCAATTTACAAAGCAAAACAGAAACACAAACAGATATTTTTACGATAGACAGATATAGACACAAATAATGCAACACGTATGCAATTAATTCAAAATTTTATCTTAATTACTTATTAGGCATTCGTAATCATATGTTTTAAACTAATCACGGGTCGGAGTTGTTACAGCAACAGTGGAACTTACTATTCTAATTAGTCTATTTCTTGATTACAGAATAGAAAGTTCATATACATATATATATTACATTTGATCTATTTATTTATTGTTTTGGTGCTTTGAATTTGAAACTGTTCAATTCAGATTTGTATGCATTTGAATTATTTTATTATTATTTTATTTTATTTTATTTTTGTAGTTATTGATTGTTGTTAGGTTGATGTTGACGAAATAGATTGCAAATGTATAGGTTCAATAGATTAGATTCATATGTTTGGTTTCTTACATGGAGAGAAAGTAGATTCAATAGATTAGATATAAAAATTGAACAAATAGGTCAACAAATTCAACAACTAAAAAAATAATATCAAAATTTGAACAGATGCTTGATTGCTCTACAAAATTTATACAGATCAAAATTATATAGATGAAAATTTGTACAGATAAAATTTGGATAGAAAATATGTACAGATAAAAATATTGAACAGGTAACAGATAGAAAATTTAAACAGAAAAAATGAACAGATAGACAACAAATTTGAATATATCGATATAAATTTGAATAGAACGTCAATGAAAAGTCAAATAGATAAAAAAAAAAAAGTCAAGGGATAAAATTAGAAATAAAATGTCTTCTAGAACTTCTTACCAAACTATTTTATAAAGTGTGGACTTCTCACAAAAAAAGAAAAAAAAATCCACTATACTTAACGTCATAGACTGGTAGAGTGGATTTTTTTCCAATTTTTCCTTGTTCTTTTTATCAAAGAAGGACCAATGGAGAGTTTTTGGCCAAATTTTTCTTAAAATAGATGTACCGTGAAAAAAAAAATGCAAAAGTGAAACGGCGTTGTTTAAGTAACAACAGTTAAACTCTACGAGGGTGACAGTAGTGACCCTGCACGCATGCATCAACTATCAAGATTAAGGGTGTGTACGATGCGATTTAGACGGTTTGCCCGCTCTAGCACCGAAGCTGAATACCGAGCTCTTGCTGATACTACTCAGGAACTTCTCTGGCTTCGCTGGCTCCTTGCTGATATGGGTGTTTCTTCATCTGCTCCTACCCCTCTCTACTGTGACAATCAGAGTGCCATTCAGATTGCTCACAATGATGTTTTTCATGATCGCACCAAACATATTGAGATTGATTGTCATTTCATTCGCCAGCATGTTACCTGTAGAACTGTTCATCTTCTTCCTATTGCTTCAGTCGATCAACCCGCTGATATCTTCACTAAGGCTCATCCTCCTGGCCGCTTCAATGATCTTGTTTCCAAACTCAACTTGGTTGATGTTTTCTCTCCTTGAGTTTGCAGGGGGCTGTTAGTATATACTTGTTAATTAGAATAGATTTAGCTTTATAATTATTAATTGTATAGCTTTACTTTATGCTTTCGGTGTAATTGTTAATTGTATAGCTTTACTTTATGCTTTCGGTGGTAGTGGGTTTTTTGGTATCCAATGCCCATATTTCTCTCTATAAAGAGAGACTTCATTCTCTTTGTAAATGATAACAAATATAGAAACATTTCAGAGCTTCTCTCACTCTCTCAAACTAATCTTTCATGAATAATAAATTTTAAAATTTAATTCACAATTAACAAATAAAACGATACGAATTAATACTAATGGATACGAATTAAACGATATTTAACGCAATGCCGCAATGATCAATTTAAGAGGATTAGAAAACCCTAGACGCTATTTCGTGATCGTTCGCCTAATTCTCAGTTTGACACAGCTAGTTAGCTACAACGATTCACACACAAACAATTGCTGAAGAATTAGCATGGAAGATTCGAGTAATCAGAAGAAAAAGCAAGCAATCGAAGATGGTGAAGAAGACAGAATCAGCACTTTACCAGACCCGATTCTTCACGAAATCCTATCTTCCATGGACCTCAAATACGCAATTCAGACCTGCGCGCTGTCAAAACGATGGAGGTATCTCTGGACTTCCCTCCCCAACCTCCACTTCGATGTCGACCTATTTCCACTTCCCAACGATTCCAAAAGGCTTCATCAATTCCCGCACTTCGTGAACCAAGTATTGTCTCAGAGAGACACCAACTCCAATCTCTGCAATTTCTACTTCTCTCCCCATGCTTGTGACCACCCAAGCTTCATCGAGAATTCCCTCTCTTACGCAATTTCCCACAATGTTCAACAACTCCATGTTGCGGCATTTAGTTATCCCAGTGCCTATCAACTTCCTCTCTGTTTGATTAACTCTGAATCTCTCAAATCTCTCACATTCGAGTATGGAAACCAAGTTCCTCTCGACAAATCGTTGGCCTTGCCGATTTCATCACTGAGACTGTTGGGAATTGTCCCAATTTGGAAACTTTGATCTTGGATTGCTTGCAGCTAAATGATTTTAATATCACTGCTCCGAAACTTAGGAACTTGGAATTATGGTACGATGATGAACATTGGTTTTCAGACTATTATCAATTGGACTCTGATGGATTGGACCCTGTCCCTGATGGACAGAAGATTGTGGTTTCGGCACCTAGACTGACTTCATTCAAGCTGGAAGGTAGAGTTTCACCAGTCTTTTCTGCGACGAGTCTTCCTTGTTTGGACAATGTTGATATCGACATAAGGGTTCCTTTCAATGCAATTATCGAGCGAAGCTTGTCGCTCAATGTGATAAACATGCTTGGTCAGCTTCGAGAAGCAAGCTCTGTTACGTTGTCGCTGATAACCCTTGAGGTAATTTGATATTATTGATCGTATTGTTGTACCAGGTTGACTTTATATTATTTGCTTTTGCTTCTAGATCCTGTAAAATAAAAATTAAGTTTGCTATGTGGATATGTTTCATTTGAAAATTTCACTTTATACTGTTCTAGTTTGGCCCGTGTGTGGATCACATAGCCCCTTGTGATTGTGATTTCTAGATTGAAGTGCACCGTTATTCACGTTGATTACTAAAAATTGAATCATGTATGCTAAACGCATTGTCAATTTGCATCTTTAAAGCCTTCCGTGAATGAAGAAGTTTAAATGCTGAGCTTATTTCTAGCTTCCTAAATTTTTGAAGTTATGGTGAAGTTCAATTACTTGGGAGATTCAGGATGCAAAATTGTCTCACTCATCAACTTGATAATTCAATTAACTTTTTTTCTTACATTTCAACGTCCGAAAATCAATACAGTGGCGGTAAATGGAAGTGTTAGGGGAAGGGACAGACCTAAACTGACGCGGGCTAGTGTAGTAAATAGATATATGAATCTCTTTAATTTGACTAACTAAATGAATATTGATAGAGTCGAGTGGAGAAGGAGGATTCATGTAGCTGATCCCATTTGATGAGACTTAAGGTCTGGTTTGGTTTGGTTTATTTCAACGTTCGGCAATCTGTTGTAAATTTCTAGTTATTATGGCAAGGCTGTTAATGATATAAAAGGATATAGTGAAACTGTCTCTAACTGTTGGAAGCTCTTTGCTGAGTTGTTTATTTAACATATTATCAAAGATGGTAAAGTCTCATTGCCTAGCCAATAATAACAATAAATAGCATCCATATATTTGTTATTCTTGTGGGTACGATTTCGACCACACATGAGCTGTATGAAATTTGTATAACTATCTCAAATACTTCACTTTGTGATCCAAAAGAGTGGCCTAATATGATTATGAACCTTGAGCTTGGGTTAGAATAAAAAAGTATCTGGCTAGCATAAGTTGAGAATGCCACAATTTTGTCATAACTATTATTAGGAGTAAACACTTTTTAATTGTACTTCGCAAGTAGATCTACATAAACTTGATATCATGTAGAAACCCTTGAAATATGAGGTTTGTTCTCCACCTTGATTACTAAAAGAACACTCGAACTACAAGCTTTCCGCAATAGTTGCATACTTTAAAAGGGTTGTGTATTGGCACCCAAGGGTGTAGTTGAGTTGGTAAGACTTGGGTGTTATAACCTCGAGGTCTCTAGTTCAACTCTTGACAAAGACAAGGCTCTTGTTTTTTGCTTGATGATGAGTCTAACTCAAAAGGGGGTCCTGTCCTAGGTTATTTAAAAAAAAAAAAGGTTTGCGTATCAATTGTGCATCATTAAGGGCTATCATTTGTAGATGAAAATTTATCCTAGCTGATTAAATTTTGAATTAATGATGAAATTCGCTGATCAAATTCAAAATTGTAAATTCTGATTATTTTACCAAGGACCGCATTAACATTTGGAAGTCATTAAAAACTTCCAATTTTGTTCTTCCAATGCTCATGCGCACACATGGTGAATCGTCTTGCTTGAACAAGATATATATATATATATATATATGGGGTGTTTGGGATGCAAGTTTGGGGCTAAAATAATCAATAAAGACAAAAAAAAAAAAGAAGGGCTAAAATAGTCAATAAGACAAAATGTCACATCCAAACCATAATTATTTTATTTTTTTTCTCACAACCATCAAATCAACTACAAAAGAAGTCAACTATCATCCCAGTCAACTTTTTTAGCTAGGCTATATAGCCAAAAAGCCAACTAAAATAACTAAGTTCCCAAATGAGCCCATAAATACAAAAACACCAAATCTCAATGTAAAAATCTAATCAAGATGGCAAGGAGATATAACCTCCAAGATGTCAAGGAGATACAACCTCCAAAATTTGTAAAATTAGCTTGCATTCATATGCTATTTAGCACAATGGTTAATATGACTATGTACCACAAACTTGAATTTGAACATAAATGTGATTGGCTTTTCTGGATTGAGTAAACTACAATTGTTTAGTAACCGCTTTTAGTACTAATTGGCCCATCTTTGTGAGCTAGGATGGTGAATAACTGTTTTAGTGGTCTATTTGGCTGGAGATCCAAGTAACAAGAATGCTATTATATCCTTAATTCTGGTTATTCACTGGTGGATTCTCGTATACAATTAATGTAAACCAACCCATTGTTGTTCATTTCCATTGAATATTATATGACGTTTCCATTTATTTTTCTACCATATATTACAGTACAGTAATAATTCAAATCAGATTTCCTTGATATGAACAATCATGCTGAATACCATAGCGTGGGATGTGCATACTAGGTACCTGCTACAGTTCACTCTCATGTGTAGCAATGAAGAATTTGTTGTATTGTGCAACATAAGAATTGAACTATTGCCCATTATTGCTTAATTATATCTTTGCATTGTCATAGTTGTTGAGTTCAAATTAATTATATGTTTATTTTGATTTGTTTCACATGAGGTAAGGTTCTTGCAATGCAAACTGATGCTCTCAAAAGTCATCCTTCTCCATTTCATAAGTTGAAGCATCTAAACTTGATAGCAGAAGAGTTGATTCAAAGGGTTAGATCTCCTACTTTAACTTTGCCGCTAAACGTGATTACCTACTTGACTCGAGGTTCCTCATGCAGCGACACCTTGGTTGTGAAGTTCTGTTAAAACCTACCATCACCTACTCCACCTACTACACCTACCACCACCTACTACCACCTACTACACACCTACTACACACCTACCACCTACTCCACTACATCTCCTATATAAGGAGCCCCTCACCATTTGTAATAGATAACATATATCAATCAATAATACATCAATTTCAATATGGTATCAGAGCAAGGTTAAGAATTTAGTATTTTTTGCTTCACCGGCGGGCGGCAACCTCGCCTTGGCCGCCCGCCGGACCTCAACCTAGTCTGCTAGAATTGTCTACACATACCTTCACTCTTCTTTACCACCTCGCCGAAGCAAATCCAAACCCAAAATCCCTCTGGGACATTTCGTCGAACACCATGTCTGCAACAATGATAGTCCACCAACAACACCACAACTCCGACTGACCCCATTTCTCCGACGAGAACCCGAACTCAACCCATCATCCCGAATCTCCGATCTGGCTCCGGGAACCTCCTACTGTTCCCACCTCAATGGAAGGCATGGTGAATCAATAATACATCATTTTTTACATGGTATCAGAGCAAGGTTAAGCACTTAGTATTTTTCGCTTCACCGGCAGGCGGCACCCTCGCCTTGGCCGCCCGCCGGACCTCAACCTAGTCCGCTAGAATTGTCTACACATACCTTCTTCACTATCTCTTCTTTGATGATTGCTTCACAAACAACTGATTTTCCACGCCCTCCAATCCAGTTCACTGCTGCTGGCTTCTTATCCGAGCAAAAGTTTCCAGAGATGCCAATGACATCCATGTCTGGGAAATCATTCTGAAGGAACTCAAGAATCTTCTTGACATTTTTTTTATCAAACAGCTCATTCTCTCTCTCTCTCTGTCCAGCGTTGACGAATTCACTTGTACCGGTACTCGTTGTTGCAGAGACGTTTACAGTTAATGAACAGTCATAATTAGCCCATCCGATCCGTTGGCCAGCCAGATCATAAACTACGATCTTGTCTTTCAGTACAAGGTCTCCTAAAATTGTTATCCCTTGGCCTTTAATTTTCTGGAATCCAATGCACCACACTGCAGCACCACCAATAGAAGTTTGCTGTAGAAGGTAGTCCTCGGGTTTGAGAATCATGGATGCACCACCAGCAAAGTTTACACTCACTGTTGGAACTATCATAGAGATGCTGGATGCGATTAGATAACACTGAATTCCTTGGGAAAGAAAAGGGCGTGCAGATTGTGAAACAGCGGTTGTAATCTGCACAGATGAGCAGATCATAAATTTCAAGCATCACACAAGTTCTTGTTAAAATTGAGAGAGGGAGCAGCTCCTCCCTTTGTGTTGGTGTGTGGATCTCTCTGTGTGTTCTCCGAGAGGGAGCGAACTGGGTGTGTTCTTGAGTGTGTTGGCCCCTTGTGTGCGTATCCCTCTTAGCCCCCGATCAGTGCCTTCTCCTCATCTTGATTATCTTTTATTGATCTCCTCCTTCAACCAAAGAGAGAACCCATCCTGGCAAGAGAGAGCACATGCATATGTGTGTTGTTTTTCTCTCTCCCATGTGACCCACTCTCCAATCTATACTTTTTCTTTTTTATTCTTTCCCCCACACTCCTGTTCCCCACGATGCTCAGATTCTCCCACCTATATTGTTTCTTTTTCATTACACTCATGTTCCCCACTCCACTTTCTTTTTCTTTTCTTTTTTTTATATTTATTTTACTCCATCTTTTGAAAAGAAACCGAAACATCAATTGGTTTGCACACCCATTATCTTACTTTTTCATTAGTGGTAGGACCCGACCAAACAAATTTGAATCTCACATTTCCTTTTTATTTTTTTTTATTTTTTTTTATTCCTTTCACATTCACACATTTCTCTTCAATTTTATTCACATACTTCTCTTCAAATTTATTTTCTTTTATTTTCCCAAAAAAAAAAAAAAAAAAAAAAAAAAAAGAGAAGGAAGAAGAAAAGGAAGAACTGCACACCGAAACTCGATTTTATTCCTGTTGGGCTGCCCCCGATCACCAGTTCCACGCATTACCACAAAAAAAAAAAAAAATAAACAAACTAATCCACAGGCGGGATTTTGCTTCTCTACTCTCTGCTGCCGGTCTCTTCTTCTTGCCTCCGTCCTGGACGTTCCGTGTGACGGCTGTTTGCCTCCGTGTTTCCCACTCCACTGGGCAAATCATACTCCCTGCTCTCCACTGCAGCATATGGCGGCACCTCCAAATCGGAACATTCACGGTTGGCCTCCGCGTCAGCTCCTTGTTTTCCGCCTTTAGCACACTTATCTCTGCTCGCGCATCCTTATACATGCGCTGGAGCAGAGCCAGTTGGGCGTTTAACTGCTGCACCTCATTTGTCCTACTCTGAAGCCGATGCGACAAATTTGTGACCGCAGTCATGGTTTCCACGCATGACTTCAATGTATACTGATTGACTTCAATATCTGATTGCCCTGCCATTTTTTGCTCCACAGACCGCATCGGAAAGTTCAACGGAGCAAAACCAGAGGTGTTTGGTTGAGGTTCACTGGCCACCGCACCAGTTATTTCTCTTGTGGACTCGTTCAGGTCTGGAAAGAGCGTGAGCAGACCACGGGAAGAGGAGGCCATGTTCTGGGTAGCTGGACGGGAAGAAGAGGCCATGTTTTTGGGTTGCTGAGTGTTTCAGCGAAGCAGCGATTTCCGACTGGTACTTTCAGAGAAGGATTGGTTACAGAGTGTTTACAGAGTATTTCAGAATGCAAATGTTCGGCGGTTTCAGACTGGTTTGCACAGCCTCCGCCTCAACCTTGGTTAAATAGCCAAGGCAGACACGCGCATCATGCGTCGCTCGGCGCTCGACGACAACATGGGCGCTCCTTTTGATGGCACGCCTTTTGACAGATTGGGCACACCTTTTGAGGGTGTGACTTTTTAGGAGTCCGACAAGACTCTGTAAACTGTCCCGACATTGATTCCGGTTAGCTCCTTCATGGGTCCGACAAGACTCTGTAAACTGTCCCAACAACTGTCACAACAACTGTCACAACAACTGTCACAACAACTGTCACAACAACTGTCACAACAACTGTCACAACAACTGTCACAACAACTGTCACAACAACTGTCACAACAACTGTCACAACAACTGTCACAACAACTGTCACAACAACTGTCACAACAACTGTCACAACAACTGTCACAACAACTGTCACAACAACTGTCACAACAACTGTCACAACAACTGTCACAACAACTGTCACAACAACTGTCACAACAACTGTCACAACAACTGTCACAACAACTGTCACAACAACTGTCACAACAACTGTCACAACAACTGTCACAACAACTGTCACAACAACTGTCACAACAACTGTCACAACAACTGTCACAACAACTGTCACAACAACTGTCACAACAACTGTCACAACAACTGTCACAACAACTGTCACAACCCTACTACACACCTACCACTACCACCTACTACCACCTACTCCACTACATCTCCTATATAAGGAGCCCCTCACCATTTGTAATAGATAACATATATCAATCAATAATACATCAATTTCAACAAGTTCCTTGGTAATAATCAATCCCTATCTTTATTCATGCATGTACCCTTTAAAATGCATATACCTTATAATTAAGCATGTATCAACCACTGCCCCCTTTCCACCACAACGAAATTATAAAATAAAATTAAAGAAAAAGGATACTTTGGAGCAAACTTTCTTGTTCAACTTAGGATCTATATTGTACTTGCTATTTCTGTCTTTGCGTGTAAATGGAGACAGTGACAACAAAAAATGGTGAGTAATAATGAGTAGTATCTCATTTTCGAGTCTATGAATCTTATGGCTGTGATTCTTTTTCCATTCTTTTATCTCTTTACTTATTTTGTTAATGTGTGTATATATATACATGTGTTTTTCTTTTTGGTCTTCCTATTGTGAATGTAATAAGTGGGAATAAATTGTTACCATTATGCTTTAATATCTTAGATTTCAGGTATAACTTATAATTATGTAAGATTCACGTTGTTCTTTTTGGTCTTCTTTCCGTGAATGTTATAAGTGGGAATAAATTGTCACCTTCATGCTTTAATATCATAGATTTCAAGTAAACTGATAAATATGTAAGAGTCACGTGGTCATTATAGTTGTTCGTGCTTCCACAATAGTTATGTCATTAGCATTATTGGGAATTGAAGTTATTGGCAAACTTTATCTTGTTATTTGAAATTTTGATCACCTCCATGTGGTTTGGCCTCAGAGCAATTTGCTTCCCTATCATTTAAAAATAGCCAAAGAGACCCCTTGTGGTTTAAGTCATTTTGCACTTCACCTCGTTGGTTTTATTAATTCTGTTAAAATTGATAGAATTTGTGTAACATGCACCGATTCTGAGAGTCGGTATAAAAGAAAGATCAAATCAAAGCCAAATTTTTTAGCCAAAATATATTGCCATTTTTTCATTCCAATTTCAAAACCTTAAATCTAAAACACTCCACACTCCCACAACTCATACCATCTTTCCCAACCAACTCCTTCCTCCACCCTTTCCCCTCTTTCTCCTCCACCCTGCCACCCCAGCCCCATCTTCCTTGCCACCCTCTCATCTACTCTTAGGAATGTAAATTTTATACGTTAAACCTTCGCTTCTTTAGGAATGAAAATTTTATACACTAAACCCATTTCAGAGAAAAAAATCAAATTCAAGACTCTGTGTGATTGATTTTAAAAAGAGAGCATCGGAGGAAAGAGATTTCTTAGTGTTAGATTGAGCAAGTGAAGCCTTCCATTTAGTGGCTTCTTCCCCTTTTTTCCCCTCACCCTACATCGCTCATGATTGGTATATGGATATCTCTATGTAGTGGTCGGCCTTCTAGAAGCTTCACCAGAAGTGAATCAATCCGCCATTAGGTTGTAATGTAAAGCCTAGTGCTCTAAATCCAAGACCTGGTGCTCCATCCATCCAGGTTGCAATCAATCGAGTTGGGTCATCATATATACACAAGAAGGTGTGCACACCCTATGGGTGCGCTATGAAACCCAACCAATTGAATGTAGATGGAGGGTTTTTTAGTTACTGACAAGGTAGGTGGAGGGGAAAAATAGAAGTTATCAAAATTTGAAATTCAATAAAAAACTAAGGTAGTTGCACAAAGATTGTTTGGGAATGGAAAAAAGGGTGACAAAACTTCACACCAAATTGTTCTATACACTTTATATAATAGAAAGCCCCATGTGGTTTTGTACCAAAGTGCAACATTTAACTCCGTTAACTATAGACGTGAAATGACTATAATATCTTCAAACCCAATGTTTTTTTGGTTATTTTCTTTCTCTTTCCTCTCTCATATGCATAATTTATAATTTCTAACATTAATTCAATTAATCATAAATTCTTAATTATTTATTGTAATTCCTAAATTTTTAATCTAATTTTAATTTAATTATATTTGAAATGAATTTTAAATTATTATTTATTTTATATTTTAATTTAATTACATTTTAAATAACTTCTTAATTATATATATATATTTATCTTAGATCAATCCTTAATTTTATTTTAATTTAATTATATTTAATTTACATCTTAATCTAATTTTCGGTTTGGAGAAGATGGGGGTACAATTGTTTTTTTGTTGTGTTAATTTTACTTTATTTTTTCAAAAAATCAAGCCCACTTTAAAAAAAGGTATGTATGATATACCTTCAATTAGTTTGAATGGAAAAACTAACGGTCGCACTTTAATCCAAAATTACATCACATGAGGATTTTCTGGCTATATTTGAACCATAAGGGGTAAAGTGCTCCGGCTTTTGCCCTAAATTATATATATGCTATGTTGCATGGACTTGGATGCTGGTGTGGGACCTATGTTGAATTCGCCACCTCTCGCTTGGACACAGCTGAATAAAAAAGGAAGAAGGTATGTGGATGCTTACCTTATAAAGGAATTTCGGTATGTGTTGGGTTTGAGATCTAGATCTGCTGAATCACATCTTTATCGACTGTTGAATCTTGACTGCATCAACTGTTGAATCTAGGTCATGAGTTTGTGATTAAGATCGAGAGAGAGAGGGGGTTTGTAATGGACATTATGTTGATTGTTATTTGAGAAAGAGAATTAGGGTTTGGGTTTGCATTTGCATTTGCATTTGCATTTGCATTTGCATGGGATTTTGACCGGCTGGTTTTGGCTACTGTTGACTTGCTGGTTTGAATCGTTTTAGATGCAATTCCATTAGGTTTCCAGCGTCACTTAGGTTCCCATGCCATCATGGGCTGGAGAGCTACATATTGGAAAAGCCATTTAGCTAGTTTTGGCTAATGGGCTGGACTCAAATAAATAAAATACATGTTTGGGCTTACAAATAAGCTTTTCTCAGCCATAAAAGTTGGGCCTTTTAGTGTTTTCTAGCTGGCCAACATTCTCTTTTATTAACGTGGGCTGTTATTAGAAAAACCGTTTGGCCATAAAAATTATTCGATCAACTTTTTAAGTCATGTTCATATAAAAAATTTATTAAGAAATTAACTATTGAACGTATCCTGGTATTTGTATCCAAATTTGGATCCATATCTAAATATCCTTTTTTTTAAGTTTTGAGATGTTCAACCGCTAGGCACCCACACCTGACACTTGTACTCAAGTGTGTGTAACATAGTATATCTGTATAATTAGAAATGCAATTAAATTAGAAATTGTGTTAATAACTTAAAATTTAAATTATAAAATTGGGGGTATTTGAGTTGTTATGTAGTTTAATTGGTTAATATTGATTGAATTAAAAAATAACGTGTATTGTAGGAGAGGGAGAGAGAGAAGATAGCATGTGGGTGTTAAGGTCATTTTTCATGTGATGTTAACGAAGATAGGGTTGCATTTTAGTTCAAAATCACATGGGTTTTTTTTTTTTTTAATTTTTTAATTTTTTGTTTTTGAATGACAAGGAGTTCAAGTGCTCCAAAGCCAAACCACATGATACCAAACTAGATTTTGCCTTCACATTTTTAACTAGTGTTGTGATACTACAACAAAATTCTAACTTAACGTATTTGCAAATATTGTAGAAACTTGGAAGGAACCATCGTATAGATTACATGGAAGTTTTGAATGTTGGTAGCTAGCAAATTGCTTTACTAAGAAAAAAACAAACTTTAGACTTGCAAATAGATTTAATCCAAGAGTTTAGATTGGCTCTTATCAAGGAAAGTTGCTGAAATTCATTCAAAATTTCAGTATGTTGCTGAAAGTGGATGGGCTTGAGTTGAGTGTGGAACAGTCAGTGGTTGAGAAGCTGTGTGGTGGAAGGAGAACCAGATATTATTGTGGCAAAGAAGATAAAATTGCTTAGAGAAGATATTAAAAGATGGAATGAGGAGGAGCTTGGAGACTTCTTGTAACGACCTATATTTTATATCTGCAGTTAATTTCTTCAAATAAAGGGCACTAAAATCCTCAATCATCTAAGAAATAATGTCTCCAAAATTACAATTCACAATTGTCTTGAAATATTAAATAATACACAAATAGCCCCAAAAATTCCATAATCAATAATTCGTCTAAAAATCTGAACTTGTACCGACTTTCACTCCAAATCAACATCCAAATACCCCGAGGATGAATAAGGTAAGCTTGACAGTCCATTAACTCACCAACAACCACAGGTAGGTGGACCCTAACTCACCTAATCTGTCACCCTAGGGTGGTGGATCATGCTCCAAAAATGTGAATCGGTGGATTGAGTGTCAATTCAATTTGCAGAATTAAATTTGCTAATTCATTTAGGAAGGAATGAATCCGGGCTTATTCCATAGAAATTGCCATGGGTCTATGCTTTTAAGCCCTTACTTTAAAAGCATTAAAAGTCTTATGTTTACATGGCACAATATTGACCATGTAAAAGACATGTACCTACTGATGGCAGTGAGCACAGCTGCTAGTGGCTGGAGCTTTTATAGACAAAAGCCTTTAATACTTTTATAACTCACTCAATTTGTGATTGTCTAACTACGCAATAGTTGAGAGTGGGTTTAAAAAGCCACTGGATGCCTACAAAATTTCAAACTTTCTGCATCCCATCAATGTGGGATTGTACAAACTGAAGAATTTTGGCATTAATCAATTGGTTGAATTATGCATATACATGTTTTGAAGGCGCTTCTGCTCTCAAGGTATTTTTAGATAGCCCGCTCTAGCTCCCTCTTCTGCTCCTGCATCCTGAATTGGTGTCTTAGCTTGGACAAAGTATGCAAAATAATCAATAGAGAGAGAGAGAGAGACATACATACTTAGGCTAAAGGTATGTTTATTGCATAAATTTGATTTTTAGTGTAAAGGATTTTATTAATTTTCTTTTGTTCTTGTAGATTTTAATAAATAAATAAAATCTTTTCCATGTTTGTACGAAGGTTTCGCCTCTTGTCGTGTTTATAAATTATATTTTACTAATAAAGAAATTCAAAATTTCAGTCATGGAAAACCGTTCACTGGCAAGCCGATTGTTTTGCAAGGATTTCCATGCTTGCTCTCGACTTAACATAATATTTCTAGCATTAATATATTATACTCAGAGTTTGACAACAGATATTTTTTATGGCTTTGATCCGGTACAGTTACTGGGTTTTGACTTGTTACTGGCTTTGTCAAATTAGTCTCCCATAAAACAACACAAAAGGGTCATTGGCTCTTGCGGTCATTTTGTGTCATGTGAATTGCAATTGGAGTATCTAAATTGCTATTTTACGCCGAGTTGCTCATATATGAAAGGATTGCCCACCTTGCTCACATATTTTTCTTTACATGTTTACAGGATTATGCTTAATTCTTAGACATAGTGTGTGAAATATTTTTCATACTTTTATCACTGATTGTGCAGACCGGCCTTGGATCGAGCACAGAAGGATCCTGGGAAATTTTGTGAGAAGCCCCCAGTAGTTTTAGGGTAGCTACTAAGGGTGCAACTTAGGCAGTCTCAACCCGAGTAAACCGAGTCAAGCACATATATTTTGGGACTTGGGCACTAGCTTCAAATAGTTTTGCTGAAAATATGAGGTGGATGAATTGCATGTGTAGGGATCTCAGAAATGATTTGTTTGTTTTGGAAGGGTATGTATGTACGTACCAGGCATGTTCCATTTTTGTTGTGGTGTATTTTGTTGTTGAGTTTATACTCCTTGGTTTCATATGATAATATACATGGGCAGATCTATTTAAGTTTCTAGTAAAATTTCTCACTTTTTTCATAATTTTTGTACAAAAAATCATATAGATTAATGTGACAGACATTTTTGCAATGAATATAAATGAGATACATCTTTCTATATGAAGTTTTGTATACAGATTTATATTGGTATTGTTCGTGTATGCATGGTATGTTTGGCAATGTTTATAATTATTATTTTTGTATTTTTTTCAAAAAAAATTGAAAAACTCTATACATGGGTAGATCTATTTAAGCTTTTAGTAAAACTTCTCACTTTTTTCATAATTTTTGGGAAAAAAATGCTGAACGTACAAAATTTCTGTACAAAAAATCGTATGGATTAATGTGACAGAGACATTTTTGCAATGAATATAAATGAGATGCATTATTCTATGTGAAGTTTTGTATACAGATTTATATTGGTAGTGAATGTACCTACTTAAGGAATTCGTATTGTCGGTGTATGTATGATGTAAGTGAGTATGTTTGGCAATGTTTATATTTATTATTTTTATATATTTTTCATAAAAAATTGGAAACTACCTACATAAACGTGTTTTGACTATTTTTCTGGTTTAAAACAAATGTAAAGCAGTGTGTTTGGTTTGAGTTTTTTGGATTAAATTTTTTAAAAATAGACTTTCTTGGTTTTTGTATTTTTTTTGTTTTTAGTGAATATTTTTTAAATTTTAAATATTTTTTTTTACTTTTTTAGATGCACTTTACTTAGATGTATCTAAAAAGTAAAAAATTTGTGAAAAAATATTTTAAAAAATTAATAAATACATAAAAATATAAAAAAAAATGTATTGAATTCTTGTATTTTTTTTTATATTTTTGGTATTTAGTGAATTTTTAATAGATTTTTTTTACAATTTTTTTACATTTTAGATGTATTTATGTTAGGTGTGTTTAAAAAGTAAAAAAATTGCTTAAAATATTTAAAAAATTCAATAAAAACAAAAAAAAATACGAAAAATAAAAAAGTAGAATTTTCTAAAAAGTGTTTTTTGAAAAGTGGAAACAAACAATATTTTTCAAAATTTTAAAAAATAAATATACAAAAAATTGTGTTTTTGTATGTTTTAAATAAGTTTTCATTTTCTCACATCGTACCCCTTCTCACTCCAGCTTCACTAACTTGCTGTGGACTTGCCTTTTTTCTGCGCCCTGCCTTTCGAAAAGGTTTGAAATGAAAGACCTCACAGTTCAGACTTTCGCAATTCTGAATCTAATCTTACAAGTACAATATGAAATTGATAAACACTAAAGAGTCTAAATCCGGCAAACCTTTTTGGAAAATCAATTTTAAATCAAATAATGCCAAAATTGAACTGCTTTTCCAGATACAGAGTCGTCACTTAAATATTTTATTTTTGAAAAAATTTAGGAAACCCTGATATGTGCCGAATGCCACGTATCCGTCATCACCAAAGTTGGCTCAGCTCAGAAACTTAGGTACGAGAGGGGAATGTCATGAATTGAGCACCTCCAAAGATCGGCCTCTACTAATCAAGATATGATTTTTTTATAAAATTATGTGTTCTTATTTCAGTTATTTAGCTAACATTACTATGTGATATGCACAAGCAAGTATAGACTAAAATTGCAAGAATTGGAACAACTCAACTCATGTTTGTTTGTGAAAATGATTTGAATTTGCCACCTCAAGTGGGCTTAAAAATGCAGATTTACCATCAAACATATTGGGCTTCAAACATGATTTTGCCACAACAAAGTGGGCTTAAAACACACATTTGTTGAATCGTTCCAATTCAAACAACAAGTCTTCATCCACAAGCATTCAAACAGTTTAGCATTTAAGCACATAGCCTCATGGCAAGCATGCTAAATATGGCAGCATTCACACTCATGCAAGCATGCTAAAACATAAAAACTTACCTAGTACTCCGAGCCAAAACAAAAAACCAGTTAGAAAGATGCATGATCCTAACTATGCAAGATGCCTAATGCAACACATGCAATATGCAATTTAATAAGCTCGGCTACTAATATGATATATGGATCAATTTGAACAACATGCGATTAAATACGTATTCAAAGAAGTATATTGAAATTGCAATGCAATTTGAATGATGCGCCGAGTCTCGGTGCAGGCAATACAAATGAATGGATGCAAACATGCAATATGCTAATTAAAACATGATCCTTAATCTAACCATCAAAAGCGATTAAATAGAAGAGAGAAAGACGTGAGGTTGGAAGACATACACATATGCACGCATACTTATTACAACATTATACCCTCGCGAAGAAGGGTCCGGATGAATAAGCGCTAACTAATTAGCTACGCTAATTAAGCTAACTAATTATTACAAACCGAAACTAATTAACTATTCTAGTTAACTAATTATAAAACGAAATCTAATAACTAGCGAAACTAACTAATTATTTACAACACTTAATCAGCTACAACTAATTAATTATAACATGCATCTAAGCTAAATATTTAAGCGATAAGCAAGCTTGAAAATGCAAGGAAGGCTCAATGCACGTGCTCAGTTTTCACCCGAAAAGGGACTGTCTTGCTGCTGCATGTCTCTGTTTTCGCATTTGAACACCAAAGAAGCTGTCCACTTCCAGAATACCTCTGCTCCACTTTAAGAACACACTGTGCAAATTTCATTGGTGGCAGACAGGGGGCTGGTCGGCTACCATTGGTGGCCGGTCGGCCACTGGTGATGGTCTGAGCTTCCTTGCTGTAACAGGGAACAAAACAGAGCATTTCTCAAGGGTTGTTTGCACACTTTGCCTCTCCTTTTCATGGGGAAATCAAATGAGAGACAGGTTTTGGTTCACAAACCATCAATCAAACAATTTCATTGTATGATGGCTTGTGAAATCAATTGTGCAAGATCAATGAATGCAAAGACAAGACCAAAAGGACCATCACCCTATCATGCATGATCAAGGGCAATGGTGACCAAGGAAAGTGGCATATTTCATCACTTCTGAGTATGAAATGTCCAATTTTCCTTATATTCGAATTAACATCTAATTCGAACACATGCAATGCAACACAAAAGATGCTTATCTTGCCTCTTTTACTTGTTATTTTTTATTTTCTCCTTTTAATTACCAAACCATTCCTTAATCCAATTTGTCCATTGGTGATTGTCCTCTAGTGGAAAGATGGCTCAAACCACAAATAGCTTTGGGCATGAAAGAGACATTGTACTGTTGGTAATGAACCCCCTAAGGGATTAAACTATTAGGTATAGCACCTCCATTTCACACTTAGGCAAATAAGAGGTTTAAAACCACTTTCAAAGAAAACAAAAGAGTGAAGAATTGAGGAAGATTGCAGAAATTAAAGTGCTAAAATTAAGTGCAAAACAACACTAAAACATGCTATCAACTTAAAACAATGGTGATTAAAGCCCTAAAATACCAAACTAGTGAAGGAAATTACACTACAACCATGCCATATAAGGCTCAAACAAGCTAACCAACCAAAAACAGAAGCAAAACAACCCTAAATATAGTCTAAAACATGCTGGACTTAAGCTACAAAAAGCTAAAACAATAAGCTAATACATGAGGCTAACTAGGCATACAAACAAGACACAATGAGGGAAGGCTAACCCCTCTAATTTTGGACTTCAAAATGAGATTTTTGTCACTGAAAAACCTCTAAAATTCAGTGGTTAAAAGGCCCAAAAAAGTTGGTTTGAAAATAATGAAAAATGGTACAAAAGCTTAACAAGCAAAGGAGCAAGAAGGGTGGACCACCCTCTAACTCAAAATGACCTCAAATCAACATTTTTAAACCATAAAAACAGAGTTTTTGACAGTTCAAAATCAGCCAAAAAACAGTTAAAATAGATGGCAAAACAAAGATACAAAATAAGCGTAAGCAAGGTAAGTGCTATATCTTTGAAACAAAGCACAAATTAGGCACAAATTCAAGCTCAAGCCTCCTTCTAGACCTCAAACAAGACTCCAAGGAACCTCAGCTCAAAGATGGTCAAGTTTGATTAAGGGTTGGTATGCAAAAGTATAGAGAAACTAGGCAACCAAGCACAAAATATAAAGAGAGAAAGAGAGAGAGAGAGAGAGCTAGAGAGATATTTTTTTGATCTAAAATTGCTAACCCTCAAAAATGGGGAATGAACCCCCCTATATATAGAAAAACAAGTCTTGAGCTTAGGAACATCCTACCATACACGTGTATGGAGAAACAACTCAGTGTGTAACAGCTGGCACAACTGTCAATAAATATTTGAAAAAAAAAGACTGATGGCCGTCGGCCACCACTGGTAGCCGACAAAAACAAGCCCAGGACGACAGCCCAAGGGGCTAGTCCAGACTTGAAACAACAAGCTTTTGGTCCAAAACAGTGCACAAAACAGATAAGGTTTCAAGGCTTAAAGGCAAGGTACTCCACCGAGGACTTCGAGCACTCAAAACGAACACAAACAAGCACAATCATCGAGTGCACAAGCGATGACGTCTGAGTCTTAAGGACGGTCAAAAATGAGGTGTCTACACTTGTGTTAAAAGCCAATGTAAATAGAACGAAACTTTAAAAAAGTGCACGAACCATCTAAAATTTCAAAATTTAAAAAATAATAGTAGGGAATGCATATGGTATATGTGAACGAACCTTTAAAAATGTGGCATCCTTCCTTTTATCCTTTGGTACAAATGGAATGTGGACCAACAAATCTTGACCACTTGTTAATTTACACTTTGCCCATATTTGGTTTTCAATAATTTGTTTTAAATTTTTTTCTAAACCCTAAAAAATTGAAAATTAGTTTCTTGAGGAAAAAAAATCAAAAGGCTTATCATTTTTATATAGTTTTTATATTTTTGGAGGGCACAAATAATTTTTAAAAGTTTAAAAATATTTTTTGATATTTATTTTTGTAAAATTAATTTTTATTTTAAAAAAAAATTTAGAAAATCAAATCACACATTGCCTTTTTTTTTTCTTCTCTAGATGAGTGATATTTTGTGTAAAAGGTACGCTAATAATCCAACATACTCAAAATTTTTCTTTTGGCAGATTATTAAAAGTTGTATCAAGCACATTTATAATTTATTTTATGTTTTTTAAGCTAATAATCTAAAAATTATAATAATAAAAGTTAACT